TAACTCAGATTGACTGTGTCAATCTCCTGTCCCCAGCACACCCTTACAGGTCACAGTGGTAAAGTTCTGTCAGCCAAGTTCTTGCTGGACAATGCACGTATTGTTTCGGGAAGTCATGACCGGACCCTCAAGCTCTGGGACCTCCGCAGCAAAGTTTGTAAGGAAGCCTAACTTCTGCCTTTCATCCATGTTTTGTGCTTCTGCTGAATGCTCCTAGCAGTCTGGTGTCAGATCAATTATTGATTATTTTACCAGTATAAAAATAGCAAAAGCTAGCAGTCATCCCATTTTCTAAGTGACTTTTTTAAGTAACTGAATTCTTTCTGTCTGTTACCTGGAATAAGAAATCCTGTGTGTTCAGGAAGCACTGTTAATGCTATTACACTGAGAGCAGCTGTTTTTGGGAGTGTTCTTTGTTTACCAGTCTGAGGGTGGGTATTTTAGTCTTCCACTAAAAACTTGGAGCCAGGCCAGGTTTTTAACCCTGAGGTGGTTGGAAGTGTCTCTTGGACACATACCAAAAAATTTCACCATCTCAAATGAAGGAATTGCTAGAACCCAGGCTTTTTTTTGGGGGGAGAAACATCTTATCTCTTTGGTTTTCTCCTACTGGGGGCTCTTAAACCTGCTTGCACTGAGAGAGCATTTGAGATTCAAAGTTACCTTGATACCTGAATTGCAAACATAGGTCAAGGAGACAGACTCATGTTGTTTAATAGTAGCAAATTATAGCTGGCTAAATATGAAGTGGAAGTAAATTAGTTGTCATGGGAACATTTCAAGTCCCAGCAAAGGAGATTGAGAAGGGCAGAGAGGTTGAAGACTTAATCAGGATTATTTTAAGACTGTTTGCCCTGTGCCACTCCTTGGGCACTGCTCTGTGTGGCCACTCTATGGGTGGGAGAGGGTTTAGGGATTATTTTCTGTCTCAGTTTTCATCAGTTTGGACAATGTGAATTTAAGTGTGTCACCTCTGGTTTCTCCTTTTTAGGTATAAAAACAGTATTTGCAGGATCTAGCTGCAATGACATTGTGTGTACTGAGCAGTGTGTAATGAGTGGACATTTTGATAAGAAAATTCGTTTCTGGGACATCAGGTAAAACTATTGTAGGAGAGCTTATGGTGTATTAGTGGTTATGGGTTTGCTGTCAGGTTAATATGAAGTAGGAAACTTCTTCCTGAGCTTGGTAGCTGGGGAGACTGTTATAAAAGCTGCAAAAAGCCATTAAAGAGACTTTTGTTACTTCTTGCAGGCTGTTTGGTATTACAGGTTTGAGATCTGTTTGGGGTTTTATTTTTTTTTGGTTTGGTTTTTGGAATGCCATTTCTTTTCTGGAAAGACAGCCTGCTTGCTGATAAGTATTTTTCATTGGTCAGTACTTGCTATTCTAGGGTGGGGTGGTGAGGAAAGTAGTTTCTTAGCTTTTTGCTGTAAATGCTGTCCACAAGGTGGGATCTAGCTTGGGAAAGAAACAAAACGTAAGAATAAACCAGTAATCCTTTTTATTCTCTTTCATATTGGGGCAAGTCAAAGTTTTGATGCACTGGTTTGGCTTCTGGACCCTCGTTCGCTGCTTTCTGATTTTTTTTTTTTTTTCTTTCCTGTTTCTGTCTTTAGGACTGAAAGCATAGTAAAAGAACTGGAGTTGCTGGGAAGAATCACAGCTCTGGACCTGAACCCGGAGCGAACGGAGCTTCTGACCTGTTCCCGTGATGATCTGCTCAAGATCATTGATCTGCGCATTGGTGCTGTCAAGCAGACATTCAGGTGAGTGTATTCTTCACAGGAATATTGTGAATTTCATTACCTTGTATTGTGAGTTACCCTTGGTGCTGGAGTGGTTCTCAGGACCTCTGTGAAGACAGCAGTCTCCTCACTATTTTTTTCTACATGGCAAAGTTCTCTGGAATGTGTAGAAACATTAAAGATCTGCTCTAATGGATCTTCTCATGTTTTGCTTTAAAGAAGGCAGCTTGGCTTATAAGTCTGTGTTGTAAAGGAATAATTTCTTCAGTTGCCATTGAGAGAAGGGTGTATGAGAAACATGAATTAGGATAAAGGGATGCTGGAGCATATTCTGAACTATGCAGAACTCCTTAACATTGTCTTTAGTAAGCATCTCTTCTCATAAATGAGTTAACAGTTATCTGATTCTAATTTTCCAGTGCCCAGGGATTCAAATGTGGCTCTGACTGGACAAGAGTTGTGTTCAGGTAAGGTCAGACATAAACAAGATACCTGATAAACTTGTCCCCAGCTAAACTGAGAGATTCCTGATGCTTGACTGCACTGGTCCCCAGTTACAGCTAGAAAAATGGGGCAGAGTTTGTAATTTGTCCAAGGTTACCTCTTGGTCAAGCCAGAGTATATCTATAAATATTGATCCAATGTCTTGTAAATGCTCTGATTTCAAAGTGCTTTCACCTTTTAGTATTAGCAGGTGATAACATATAACTCCTAAAAGACTGTTTAATGCCAAGTTGCTTGCTTAGGAAGTTGTGGGTGGAATGATGATGTGTGCTGAAAATTGCTGACTTGCAAATTGTTCTTTGCCTTCTGCACCTGGTGTGCTCTCACAGCCCTGATGGTAACTATGTGGCTGCTGGCTCAGCTGACGGGGCTCTCTACATTTGGAATGTGCTTACTGGGAAATTGGAGAGGACACTTGCAAAGCATCACAGGTGAGGTGTGGGACTCAGAATCAGTCAAAGAAAAGAAACTGAGAGTTTCTAGCCAGGCAGACACCTGGGAAAGAGCTGGAGAGAATGTAAATAATTCTTTATCTCTCTTGTTCTCACATTGTTTATAGTTAAGCTCTATCACTGTGCGTCAAGCACTCTGCACCAATGGTGTGGATTGTTTTCACTTCAGAACCAATGGATTTGGCCTTTGCAAAGCTCTGTATAAAAGAGCAGTGTATTTTGAATAAATCGGAGTTTTACTCTCAGCAGCCTTCTGAGTGAGTCTTCTCATTCCCATCCTGCCTCGACAGTGACAGTGAGGGAGGTGGGACATGCAGCCTAGGGTGGTGATCTGGGTTGTGGATCGTGCTGAGCTATCAAAAAGTTGGAGTTGTACAGCTTTGCAACTTTTATTGGCGTGTGCGAATTATTAATATGCAAAGTCTTTGGGGATTCATGGCAGTATTCTCTAGACTGAATTAGATTAGTTTTTTTGTTGTTATCTTGTTAAACTGAGATATGATTCTAATAAAGTGCATTCAGTACATTTTGAAGAAATTGTACCTCCTTCGGACTTATTAAAAGTCCAAGTCTCTTGATGTAAGAAAGTGGTTTTTTTTTTAAATTTGTAATAGTATTTCAGTGCTAAGTGCCGTTGTGGAATTCAGCTTTCTTGTAAACTTACTCTTGCCTTCTCTTTCAGTTCTTCCATCAATGCAGTCACGTGGTCACCAGCGGGTGCCCACGTGGTGAGTGTGGACAAAGGAAACAAGGCTGTGCTGTGGGCTGAGTTCTGACTGAGGAGGGCGAAAGGCTGTGCGTGGTGGTGCTGGTCCGTGGCTGTGCAGCATGGAGACCTGAGCCCAGATCCATCCAGAGGCAGGATACTGACAAGCACATGGGCTCTGCTTTCCAGAGGGAAGTTCTAAAGCAATGGAGAAAGGAGCCTGAGTCTAAGACTTCTCATGGCCGTAACTGCACTGTGGCACTCGAACTCAGAATGGGATTAGCTGTTGTAGATGGAAAATACTACTTAGTCATGCCTTTACTTGCAGTATCTATGCACCACATGGAGCTGAAGATACTAGCGGGATTCCTCACCAGACAGCTGTGCCAAATATCCTGTCACACAAATGTATCTACAGCACTTCTGAGGTGGAAACTTTGGAAAGAAGTCATTGTGTATGCTAACTTAAAGCATGTTCTGTCTCCTGTGTTCTGTTTTGGTGGCCTAGTTCAGTCATGGGGTGAGAAGATCCTGAAACACGTCTAGGCAGTTTGAGGTGTTGGAACAGTTTTTAAAGAGGCTCTGACAGCTGTGCCTTTGAGTGATCAACTCCATTTAGATCTGTTCTGATCCTGGCACAGGCTCTCCAGCACTGTCATGTGAACTCTGTGTATCGGTTCTTGAGGCAACGGTCTGTTCTTCAGGACTTCTGCACCCTTTTGTTGAAATGCCCTTCAGCAGCTTGGGCATCACAAAATAGGAGGTTTTTTAATCTTTTTATACCACAGGCAGTTTGATTACTGGGTGTGAGGAGAGAGCTCAGCTTGTTGAGGTTGTTGTAGAAGTTGTGCTGCAGTGATGAGGAATGTAGTAATCCTGTGACTTCAGTCCTGGAATACAGATGTTTGGTTCCTTTCTCTGTTCATCCGTCCTGTCCTGGCGGCCGACAGGACGCAGGGCAGCAGTGGCATCACATCCCAAATCCGTTGTTTTGGTGCTGGCAATTCCAGGCCACTTGCCCTGTTCTTGAGCACACGTGCAATATTCCCATTTGCGCTGGAGCCCTCTGTGGTACAGAACGGTGTCTTAGCTCTGTCCCTCTTCTGGCACCCTAAACCATGATGTGTCTGAGTGTGAGCTACCTGGCATATCTTTATCCAGCCAAACCTTTCCACATCATCTGGGCCTCAAGACAAGCCACCAGCGTTTTATTGCCTTTTTATTTGCACTTTATTTTCTTCTTTCCCGATAGTGTTGTACTGTGGAAGTGTGTTCTTTGGAGGGGCTGGGTTGGGGGAGCTGGTCTGACAGGCTCCCTCTAACCCAGCCTTTCGTTCAGACACTTTCTGCAGAGGGGAATTAGAGTATATGGGGCAAAGTTTTTATTTATTCAGCTGCCCATAAGAACTTGATTGTAAATAAACTTGTGTTCTGCTTTTAAAACCCCACACTGCTCTGATTTATTCATTTGTACATCTGTGTGCGAGATCTTGTTTGGAATGAGTGCAGAGGGGGACCTGAAATACCATTTTCCTGGTGAATTGGGGAATTTGTTGTCAAGGGGGAAAAAGGATAATGCTTTTAGCTTGGGGCTAGGTGTCCTGCAGGCGCAACTTGGGCTTGCACTGTCTCAGTAATCCTGCCTTGAAACTGAAGAAAGTCTTGCCTCATTGAACAAGTGCCTCTGTCTCTGTTCTTGAAAGGTTGATGTATTGCTGAATGTTTTAGATAAACTACTGCACTGAGGAAATCAGAGTCTGTATTTCAAACACTGCTAAAAATAGGTGACTTTTTCTGCTGTGAGACTTTGACTGCTAGCTTGTCAAGTTTTTAAGACAGGAATAGCAGTTGCACATTTCTTTAGAAACACAAAAACCTTGTTGAAGATGTTGCTCTGGTTCCAGCTTCCGAGTGATGAAGCAAAGTCTTCAGCTCTTCAGTGTACAAATTTCATAACCAAATAGCCATCACTGGCCACCCTCTGTTTTTATTCAGCTCATGGATGTGAGAACTGTAGCAAAAATGCAAAGCTGGCATTCTGAGCAGTTTCTAAAGGCAAGATATTTTTTCTGCTGCCTGTTGCAGTGGCATATGGTCCTTGAAAAGGCACCTGCCATGAGTCCAGGTGACCTTGGTTACTGCAGGAAAGCAGATCATGAAGTGGCAAGTCAGCATGATAAAAGATTATTGGGAGATTAGCATAATAAAAACTGCAGGCTCTGTTGAGAAGGATCAGAATGGGTTTAGGATGTTTATAATTTAGACTGCTATACTTGTGTTTTTCTACAGCATGGACACATCTTACCCAAAGGGCTTTGTTAGGCACATTGATGCTGTTATGAAGCAGGTTAATAATGCTGAAGGGTAGCAGCCAGCTAGCTAAGTCCTTAAGCATTTTAGATTAAAGTTCTTTAGCACCAAGTATGTAAGAAATTCTAGGGAGCAATTTTAGTGTTTCTTTTTTTCCTGTATTTTGATTACTTTTATTGCTTCCTTTTCTCCTTCAGCCTGCAGAGGGAAGAGCAAATGAAGGTACCTGCAGTGCAGAGGTGGTGGTAGCAGTTTTGCTGCCAGAGGTGGAGCTGCCCTTCAAGTGGATTTGGGGATGGGTTGGACATCTCTCTCTGGATTAAGGGTGCACTAGGAGCATGTGTTACAGAGAAGCTGTTTCCAAGATCCCCTGAAGATGTTTGCAATGGTACATGTGCCAACAGGAATGCTCATCCTCTCTTAGAGAACTAATAATGCTGCAGTGGCTGCAGCACAGACTTGTACAAATCCAGCTTCCTCCCTTTTTCTTTTGCAAATGTGACTGAGTTTCATCTCTGGGGTTTCGTTCTTACTTCCTACAATAAGGACCTGACTTTCCTTCTGCAGCACAGGCATGTGTGAATTTCTGTGGTTCCAGCCTGGTTGGTTTATGTTTGCCAGAGTTGATTAGACAGAGTAGTGATTAAGCTCTCCAAATAATCCACCCCCAGTTAATAAAATATTGCTGGAATCCTGAAAGACCTGAGAAACATTGGTTCTGGTTTTTTTTGGGGTTTTTTTTGGTTTTTTTTTTGGTTTTTTTTGGTTTTTTTTAGTAATTTGTTTAGTCCTGGCCGCTATATTCAGGCAAATGTCAGTGATTCAGTGATTGTGAAAAGCAAGCTTGATCTGTGACTACAAGGTTGCTTGAGCTGGAGGGAGCTGTTAGGCTGGCAAGCGGACAGGATATCATGTGATCCTTGTAATCAAATGAACAGATGCAGCCAGAGGAAAGCTACAGCTGTTCCTGCAGCTCACAAGCCAAAAGTTAAAATATACTGTTGTGCAAAATATCAGGGCCAAATTCACTGGTCAGGGGGAAAAGCTACTCTTGGAAGATTTAGGAACAGCAAAGCTGAAGTTAATTGAAATAGCTGTGTTTCTTAAATCCAGAATGTTGTGCTTTTGTAAGTAAATTGAGGAGGGGATTGTACAAACCAGCAGTCTATTGTTTTGCATCAGCATGTCAGTTGGCTGCTGGTGAAGCAGCAATAGATAAATTGCTTAGTGATCATGAGAATAGTGCATTGTTCTCAGTGTTTGACAGGCCATCAAAATGGCATTTTAGTGTTTTATAAACTCCCTTTTTCATAAATGGCTCTTGACTGTTCAGTTTTTTACCAGGCAGCCTTACAGCCCTAGGAAGGAGGAGATGGAGCTTTAGAATCAACTCCTTTCAGTAGCTGTCCTGTGCTACACCAATCTAGTATTTTCAAAACATGTGAACAGGACATTGTAGACCTCTTCACTGACTACCCGAGTGTCCTTAGGTAATGCCTTGTTGTTGCTGACTTAACCACTTCCCAGCTGAATCTTAGCCCAGGTACAATATTTGCTCTTGAAGAGGGATTAATTATTGAAATCCTGGATGGATGCAACTAGAGACGAGCTTTCAAATCCCCTACAAATTGTCTTCCTTGTTTGTGAAGAGGGCAGTAGTTCCCTCTGGTAGATGCAAAGAAGCATAGGACACAGCTGCCTCGGAAAATTCATCTTTCTTCAATAATTTAGAAGTTCCCATCACTGTCCGTGGAAGCTCCTTTGCCGTTTCAAGCACAGCAAGGTATTTAATGTTATTTACTGGAGTGTTTCTTTGAGTCTACAGCACGTCTAGTCAGCAACAAATACTGGTCTGGGCTTGAAAAACCTACCTAATTAAAATAGAAATGCTTACTTGTGATATGGTCTGTTTTGTCAGCATTCCAAAAAGGCAAGTGTTTCCTTTTTCTATGGTTTGTTATCTGCAAATAGGCCCTAGGAACTTTTTTACTCTTGAAGCAGTTTTAAAATGGAAAAGCAAACTGAGAAATAGAATGGGAGCAAATTACAAGGACAGTCATACTCCATCAGAGCTGGGGTCTGTCTAACACAGTGCTGTCATTCACACAGCTCTGATGGTGAGGAGTGTAAGTACAGGGTATGTGTGGCATCCTCCTTTCCTGATGCTGCTACACTGCTTCAGAATCTTACAGGTTGTTCCTGGATCCTCATCCAACAGCTGCCAAAAGCTTTTTTTCCTGTGAATATGTCCTGTGACTCAATTCATATTGGTGATTACCAGAGCCGCCTTGAATCTTCTGTTAACTTGGGAAATGCTTCACCTTATTTTAAATTTGCTGTCTGATCATTAACTGGATGCTATTTTATGACTTAAAACAAAATGAAAAGCTAATCTCTCTGCTTTGTACCATTTAGGTTTGCTGGACTTCTCTCTCTGGATATCTCTTGTTCCCTTGTGGTCTCCCTTTCTCTTTTCCCTTCTCTTTTGTCCACTGCTTCTCTTATTTTTCCCCCATTCTCTTCCCCCCCTTTTCTCTCCCTCCTTCTTTTTCTCCTCCTGAAGAATTTTTATTCCATATGTTGTATTCCATATGTTTTCTATCCCTCAGGTGCAAGCTGTTCCCTATCTCTAAGTATAATTGTTGCCTTTCTGGGCAGGTGGCTGGACTGTTCTGTCCTTACAGTGCATTCTGCTTTGAGCTCAGTGCTGCTCTGCCCATAGTGGGTTGCACTGGGTTCTGGTTGAGGAAAATGCAACAGGCCAAATGAGCTCTTATTTGGGGATTGGTCTGACTCCTTATCAACACAAACCACCTTTGTAGCTTTTAGACAGGGCCACCATTTGGATGTGTGAGGGGGTCTGAAACAGCACAGGAGTGCAGTGCTTTACCTACTGCTTTTATCTCATCCACCTATTTTTCGCAGGCACCTGGCACAGGACATTTTGGGACAGAAAATCTTCATTCACGCGCAGTCACATCCCTGTCTTTGACCATGAGCTGCCCTGAGTCTCAAAAGACTGGGATTGGTGGGAAGAATGCTGATTCTCCTCAGAAACAAGTTGTCTTCAGAAAAAGCGCCCGTGACAAAGCTGTGAGTACATTAATAATGGGCTTATTAGGTTTGAGTTTTACCTGTGGTCAGACTGAAGACTTTTTAGAAAGCTCTTTCCTGTCCCCTTTATTTTTTTCTGAAGAAGCATGACCCATATTACCACTAAGTTTGAAGAAATGATGTGAACAGTTTTTAGGGCAAACTTTTCATGTGTTACAATACAAGAGAAGGCAACTCACGTCACTCTCCTTCTGGGTTGTACTTCTACTGGTAAATGTTTAAAACAAAGCTGATTCATTGTCTTTCTAACCTGACAGCACCAAAAATCGTTAAGTATACACTTTGTCCCATGCACAAATATTTGTGTTGTACCTTTGGGAGTTGGTCTAGATCAGGTCTTCAGTTCTGATGTCCTGCATGTGAATAATCCTGTTGAGTCTAGTGGAGGTTGCATGTTTGCTGGAAAAAAAGAAATATTCAATTTAAAATTGAATTGTTCTGATCTCTGCAAAATTTATAGCTCTCTGATGTGTGCATCCCCCTTCCCTCAACAACTACAAACATTTTCTAGTTCAACTGTGGTCATCCTCTCCCCACAGCTGACTATCTACCTGGGAAAGCGGGACTTCATTGACAACATAGAGAATGTGGAACCTGTAGGTAAGTCCACGAGGTTATGTGCTGCTTTTCCTGCTCTCAACCCTTCTTTTATGTATGTTAATCTTGATTATTTCCCTTTCTTTCAGATGGCGTTGTATTGGTGGATCCTGCTATTCTCAAGGGGAAAAAAGGTTTGAGGTTTAATGCAGTGTATGTCTCAGAAATTGTTTGTGTTTCTGAGTGAGATGCTAAGGTAGAACCTTTTTATTCTTTTAAGGGTGCAAACGTAACTCTGCCTCAGTGAATGGGCTTCTTATAAATGCAATGTCTGTTGTTACACAGTTATGGGATGAGTAGTCACTGGGTTATGCAAGTGTTGAAATGAGTTTCCATGTCTCCCTGGGGCAGGAGGTGTCCCCATCCCAGCCTGGCTTCACTGTTATCCTGCTGCATGCTTCACCTGTCCTGTGCTTCTTGCCAGTGTTTGTGTCCCTCACCTGCGTGTTCCGCTACGGCCAGGAAGACATTGATGTGATTGGCCTCACCTTCCGCCGGGACCTGTTCTTCTCCAGGGTCCAGGTGTACCCGCCTGTTGACAAGCCAGAGTCCCTCACCCTCTTGCAGGAATCTCTGTTAAAGAAGCTGGGGAAAAATGCTTATCCCTTTTTTTTTACAGTAAGTATTTCAGAAGAGCCTCTGATTCTCTTCTTGTCTGTACTTACCAGACTGTTGAGGCCTGGTGATGGACTGAAGATGGCAATTGATAGCAAATTCATGTTCTGCAAGTTCAAATTTTAAGTGACAGGTGGTGGTACCAATGTTTCTTTCTTCTTTCAATCCTGAGAGGTAGAGTACAAGAAGATCCTAACTGTGCAGTGATCACAGCACTGTGAGAAGTGTTTTCTTAAAAAAGGCAAGGGAATTTGCAATGGCTTTATGCTAGCAACAGCCCCATATATTCTTGCCTTCCCATTCCTGAGGGGCTGGAATACTTTTTACCATTGCCCCAGTGCCAAATCATTTTCCTTTAAAAACTTTGGATCAAATAAGGAGATGAAGAGGTGATGACAAATGACAGCTGACTGCCAGATTCTAACAGGAAATCCTTCCAGTGCTGTCAGTCATATATCTGTCTTAGTGTTCCTGAGGAAGATTCACATTGTGCATGGACTTTTTTTTTCTTTCTTGACTTTTAAAGTATTTTTGGAAGAAAGGGATTTGTTCATACTAGCCAGAATTCTGAAGGGTTACGGCATTACAATGAGTGACCCCTTGTCTTCAGGACTGCTTTTGTGAGCAGTTTGTTACCTAAAACATCTGTGTGCTGTTGGTTTGGGGCATTTCTCTTCTTCCTTCCACAGTTTCCAGATTACCTGCCTTGCTCAGTCTGTCTGCAGCCTGCACCTCGTGATGTTGATAAGGTGAGGCCAGTGGGACACTTGTGCTTATCCTGGTTTAGGAAAGTTAGATGGAAAAAAACCATGGGAATTTGTTTCGCCTGAGAGTAGGAGAAGCTGATACTGATTTTACTGTGCTGTGCCACGAATGTCAAGAGCTAAGGGCTACAAGTATATGTCAAAGAATTGGAGTTGAAATCCTCAGAATAAGAAAGAGAACCCAAACAAATAGCAGCAAGACTACAAAATCTGCAGTGTTGTAGCTTCTTTAAGACTATCACATGATTTGTGGTTTGGCTGCACATAAAATGATTGTTGCTGTGAGGCTACAGGAAAGAAAAGGAGACCGAGTGCCTAAAATCTCACAGATTGCTATAAATAACTTGCGTTAAGACCTGCCCTGAATTAAATGCAGAGAAGAGCTGGCTTGCACATATGTGTAAACAGAAAAAAAACCCTGTAGTAAAAGTCACTAAATGATTATATGTTCTGCAAGGTTTCTGATACTGTTAAAAATATTCCTTTTATACTTGACTGGATGCTTGTCTGGACAGCAGAACTAGGCAATCAGACAGGCAAAGTTGGGATGAGGGTCGCAGAATCTAGTGCAAAAATGTCTCTGTATAGAATTACCTGCGACTCACACAGGTGCCCCATGATGCTATAAACCTGTTAAAGCAAAGGTTAGCTTGGCATGAGCACTTCCACTCTTAGATGCTGGTTTTGGCATTACAAAGCCAACTCAGAAGTTCAGAAACCCAGGGTGGGCCTGACAGCATAGCACACTGGTCAGTCTTATGATGTGACCTTTCCAGCTCTGGTCTCACAGGAAACCTTTCCAGGAGCAGGGATGTCATCTTTCAAAGGCTGGGATTAAGTCCCATTTATCAGAAGCACTGTAGAACAGGTGGATGTACCAACATCAGTTGTCAGGGATGTCTGTGACAGTGGTGGGAGGCCAGAGTAATTTGCAGCTGCCAGGAGTCTGACAGTTTCTGGTGTGCAGAGATACTCAATCATTGCAGGTGTTCCTGTCTTCTGTTCCTGATTTCACAGCTCTCCTTTCTCTCTCTGGCAGACTTGTGGGGTGGACTTTGAGGTGAAAGCTTTCTCAACAGAAAATGTGGAAGAGAAAATTCATAGGAGGTAACAGGATGTGTCTCTCCTCAGCTTTGCCTTAAGGGGATGGGTGGTCCAGTGATGCACCTGGGTTGTTTGTTCAGCTTTGCCCCCCTTGTCAGTAACTTCCTGGGTGTGAGCACATGGGAGTGCAGAACTCCTGCCTCTGCCAAGCACTGGGTGTCACCGTGCTGTCCTCTGCTGCTTCCCAGGAACTCTGCACGTCTGCTGATCCGTAAGGTGCAGTTTGCTCCGGAGAAGCCAGGGCCCCAGCCTTGTGCAGAGACCACCTGGCAGTTCTTCATGTCCAATAAACCCCTGCACCTGAAAGCTTGGCTCAGTAAAGAGGTGAGGGGGAGTTTGCCCTGGAGCTGGGGGCATCGTGGTATCTGCAGGCCAATGGGCATTTTGCTGCTTTCTCAGCTGAGACTGACTTGTCCCAGCACTCAAGGGCTCTAATGTAATTTCTGGCAGTGGCTACTGCTAGGGGTGGTTGAAACCCTGTTACCAAACACATTTGAAGTCATTGAAGGAGGGGTCATGAATCACTGGGCGGGGTCATCTTCTCCTGTCTGGCCTCTGTGACATGTAATCTGGGGGAACTAGAGGGGTTTGGGCTTGTAAGAAGTCTCCTGGCTGTATTTCTGAGCATCACATTCTTTCTAGGTATACTACCATGGTGAGCCCATTCCAGTCACTGTCACCATCAACAACAACACAGAGAAAACAGTGAAGAAGATCAAAGTCCAGGGTATGTTTTTACTGTTGCTTGGGATTCTTCGAGTGCAATAGGACTGAAAGAGAGACAGAATTTAGTGCTTGTAGCAGTTTAAGAAAGTAGTTGGTGATATCAGGAATTTGTGCCTCCCCCCGTGTGTTGCTGTTTCTTTGCTGTTCATCAAGTGAAGTGCTGTAGCTTTTTCCCTGATTCTTGTGGTTACTTGTATGTCTTAATTTCAGGCACCAGATTGTCCCCCCTAGAAAAAGAGAAGGGGTCTGGCTCCTGCAGTGGACAATGCAGGTGTAGGAAAAGTGGGGGAAAATCCAACCCTATTAGGAGGTCAGTGGGAAGGGCTCCCTCCATGTCAGTGTGATGCTCCTGCTAACTGTGAATGTGCCTAGATAACATACAGCTTTGCCTGGTGTTCCAGAAACCTCTGGGAGTGTGAGAAACAGCCACTCTGCCAGCAACAGTGTCATTCCTCCTGAGCAAGCTGAGGGCAGGGGCTAGCTTCATTGCTGTGCCAGTGTTTTAGATGTGACACTACATGTCTCCATCCCACAAGCTGCAGAGCTGGGGAAGAGAGTCTGAAAGACAAAGGATGGGAAAGAGAAAAGGTGGGGAGGGAACAAAATGTCCGAGGCTCCTACAGAACTATAGCAGAGAAAGCTGTTTCAGTGTCTGTCTGGGATGTACTGAGATTCCCAAATATTTTTAGGCTCTTTTTTATGCCTCTGTTAGGCTTAAAAAGACCTTTTTGGTCCCAGATTCTCTCTTCTTCAGTGTTTCAGTCAGAATTACCCTGGGATTTTTTGTGTAGGATTGGAGAATATAAGCCATTTGTTACCACAGGCTCTGTGCTGATGCTGTCTCCTGAATGCACATGCATGGGCTGTAGGCACACAAGAGATATCAGGACCAGTGATAAAAGCAGACCCTAACAGAGAAGGAAGAGGGACATCTTTATAATGGAAAGTGAGGATCCCAAGAGACACTGTGGGTTATTGACTTTCTGTTGTCTCCAAATCAAGGCCTGGTGTCTTTCAGGGAAGACAGACTTTGGCCATTGGTGTGCTGTTGGTCTCTGTCCAGGTCAGGCTATCTGCCCTGGGGGTCCCTTCAGGCTCTAAATGGATGGGGTTTCTGCTTTTTTCACCGTGTTTCCCATTCCTGGGACTTGGGGTGGGGGCAAGTGCGTTGTTTGTGGTGCATGCACACACCTTAGTGTCTGCTTTCTTCATTCTTCCTTAGTGGAGCAGGTGGCCAATGTGGTGCTGTACTCCAGTGACTTCTACACCAAAGTGGTGGCTACTGAGGAAGCACAGTGAGTGAATGCTCCTGCTCCTTCACACCCTTTTAATTACCCTCATCATCAGTGATGAGAGGTTCTCATACTTAGAGTCTGGGAGTCTCCTGCTGTTACAGTGCTCTCTCCTCTTACCTTGTGTGTGCCACACCACTTATACTCTCTAGATGTAGTTGGTCTCGTTTTCAGAGCAGCAGAGATCCTCATGTTTTTTCAGGGAATGGGGATGTTGCAGAAGAGGTTTGAAGAGTAATTACCTGCTAGACAAGATTGGTGGTGGTGGTGGAAGGTTCCCAATTGTTGGAAATCTTTAGATAGAGATGCAACAATTTTCTGAAAGGTGCTGCTGTTTGAGTGGAAGTCATGGACTCTGCTTGAGCAAGAGCATTCAATTTCTTCTGGCCTGAAAAAGCCCACAGAAACCTTGAGTCTGTAGATGTTATGGAGAACCACACAACCACATGCTTCTTTTCACTGTACTGTCTCTGAACCTCACACTGTGAGGAGGGTTGGGCATACCCAGGTACTTTGTCTAGTGTTCTGCTCTGTATCTTAGGGACATGTTTTCCATTCAGTATTGGTATTCTCAACTAGGATTAATTTTATCCAAATTCAGAGCTTTGCAGCACAGAGGATGTGGCCTCAAGTTGCACCTGGAGAGGTGTAGATTAGATATTAGGAAAAATCAATATGGCACTTAAAGACATGGTTCACTGGTGGCCTTGGCAGTGTTGGTTAGTGGTTGGACTTGATAATCTTAAAGGGCTTTTCCAACCTAAACTATTCTATTATTCTGTGGTTTTTACCTACTTCTCTGCCTTAATGTGAAATTAAGCATTTTCTGCAAGTGCTTGTTTTTCTCTGTTGATTATAAAGGGAATTTTGCTGACTAGATTAGAGGTGGGCATCTGTATCGTTGACAACTGAAATTGCACAGATAAATTCCTCTCCATTTGGGCAGCTTTGTAATCTGTTTTGAAATTCTCCTAGTTGGGTGTGTAACAAACCATGGTGTATCATTTCCCTTCTTATTTTCAGGGAAAAGGTGCAGCCAAACAGTAGCCTGACCAAGACACTGACACTTCTGCCCTTGCTTGCGAATAACCGGGAGACACGGGAGATAGCTCTGGATGGAAGACTGAAGGATGAGGACACCAACTTGGCTTCTAGTACTATGTGGGTGGAGTTTTAAATGGTCCCAGGTAGCAGGAGAATTATAGAGAAAAGGGGAGCATGGAGGAGACACTTCCCTCAGGACTTTGTAAAGTTGAGCCCAGATGGATACATGTAGCACCATCATGTTCCTTCGGGGTGAACGGGGATCACAGATCTGGAGAGTACCTGAGGCTTGCCTGCCCTCCCACTTTCAGGATGTTCCCCTAGTTCTTGCTCCAGTTGTTGCCATACTGCTGTGCTCACACTGCTCTCTGTTTTCTCTGGCAGCATTAAGGATGGAATAGACAAGACAGTGATGGGGATTCTGGTTTCCTACAAGATCAAAGTGAAGCTCACTGTTCCAGGGTAAGTGTAACACACTTTTTGCTACATCTGCCTGGAGTCAAGGGAGGGGAGTGTGTTTATGTCGTTGATGAGTGAGGAGAGACCAGAACGGTCCACCCCAAGGGAAAGGGCACATGTTATAGGATATGAGGCTCCCTATAAAGCATAAATTGCCTGGAAAACAGTCTTGGCCTATCCATAGAACTTGTCCTGAGACAAAGGGTTTGTGTTGCTCTCCTTAGATACTATATAACTTTATGGTTGAAGGAGGAACCTCTGGTTTGCATTGCAATTTTTGTTTCAAAGCTATAACTTATTTTGTGAGAAGTGAGGTGAAACTTTGTGTGAACCTCTTATGTTAGCATTGCTGTTCTCCCAGAGCAGAAGGTGAAAACATCTGCCTGAGAGTCATAAACACTGTAGCTCAGGTTCTGTACTCGGCCAGCTTTTTGGGTAAAGCTGATGTTATCAACATGAGTTAGATCCAGGATACAGTAGTACAAAAAAAGGGCCAGGATAGTGACTCTTGGTTGATGCTGGTCACTGCTTATTTCATTGATCTATGCTTCATTCTAGTATAAAAAGATTTGCCAAAAGCATGATAAAATGCCTGCTGCTTTCTGTGGTCAGCCACTTGCCTTTTGGCTCTTGGAAAAGGGGCCATGCCCAACACTTGGTCAGGAGTTCAAAAACTTAGTCTATTTCTCCATGAGAATGACATTAAAAAGTAAGACTACCTTTTTTAAAAACAAGTTCAGCTGAATTTGTGGTGAGAACAGTACATCAGGACAGTGATTTCAGTAGTCCACCAATTACACAGCCCTTGCTGTTTCTTGTAGGAAACCAGAATAGAGAGGCATTAAATATTCTTTGTGTTTCTCCTTGTTTTCTTTTGTAGCATGCTGGGAGACCTCACTTCCAGGTAAATGTCATCTTCCTTTTCAGACCATGCAGTCCTAGTTGTTGGTTCATCTCTTTATTCTCTTTTTTTATTGCCATTCTCACCTCCCTAAAAAAAATAACTGTCCCTTAAGCTGTTAGAAGCAAGCAGTTTGTGGTTCTCCTGTGAAAAGGAAGCTATTACAAGAATGTCTTTTGATTTTATATAAATGCAAGTACATTCAGCATACAATAAATGCAGTCTATGTAAGTGAATATGCCTGGGATATTTATGGAGAAATTTGAGCTTAACTTTTTTGAGAGGTAAATTATGATTAGAAAAATATGAAAGAATGGGTGAAGCTGGAGCTGAGGGCTCAGGCTGGCCTAAGGAGGAAGGAGGCTGAACCAGGCATGTGTGCAGAGTTGTGGATCTGATGCATTCTTTCTTCTCCCTAAAGTGAAGTGGGCACAGAGCTGCCATTTCGTCTCATGCACCCCAAACCTGAGGAAAAGAACCCAACAGGTCAGTTACACCTGGTTTTTGCCTTTGTTCATTGACAGGCTCTGGTGAGATCTCACCATTGTAAAGGTTAGAGTGATTTGTGCTACAGGAAGCCTTCAGAGCCTACAAGGCTCCAGTGTGGAGCTGTTCTGTGTGTTTCTGTTTCTATATATCTGTGTATGTGTGTGTATAGATGTATGTATCAACCTCCAGGCACTAAACAGAGAGCAGGGATGCAAAGATGGGAGAAAATGGAAAAGAGTCATGTTCCCTTTCATCTTTCATGTATGGAATCACAGCTCAGAGAACAGAGGTTTGAGGAAGCTCTGCACAGTTAAATCTTATGACTGCAGTGCAAAATATCCTACATGAAGGTGTCAGCAATTCCCAGCCAGATTGCGGTATAAGCAAAAAAGAAAAAATCTGATGCAGAAAATACCTAACCCCCATGAGCACTGTACAAAGCCAAATACTTTTAAGCAAAGTGAAGAGGTGATAAAAGTACTGATGAGTCTTGAGACCCTTTATCTTGATGTGGCATTTGCCATGGTGTCTGTGATGTGGCCTTCTTGTTCAGCGGTTATCCAAGGTGAACATCCCTTCAACGTTAGGGCTCTGTGTGGAAGTGAGGGACCTCTATAACAGTGTGAGTAGCAAGCCTTACCCAGGCATCTTGAGGCTTGGGATCAGATGCCAAAACCACAGGCTGCCAGGAGCATCTGCCCACTTCCTCAGGCCCTGGCTGGCTCTGTTCGCCAGTGGTGAGCACCAGAGATTACAAGGTGCTCACACTAAATCAAAAGCTCCTGTACAGCACCTGAAGCCTCTCTCAACCACCAGACACACCAGCCCTTTCCTGCTGGGGCTGTTACAGATGACCCATCTTGTCCTACTCTCTATACTGGGACAAAGTTTAGTGGGCTTCAAACAAAATCTATGGCTGCTTTTGTGCTCCTTTTTTTTCCCTTTCATTTTCTCTTTGTGCCCAAACTGACTTAAAGCTGCTGTTTCTAACATGAAACTTTCATGTGAAAGTGACAGTGGAACCTTTGAGTAGAGTTATCCTGAGATAAATGCTTTGGTTTATACTGGAAGCATTAGAAAGAGGTGATTTGAGTCCTTACTGTGTGAAATTGTTGGAGGAGTCAAGTGTGAACAATGAGAAGAGAGCTGGTGATCCACTCCACATTCAGATGCTCTGGTTGGGAATCAGGCTTTGCTAATTGTGGATGTGCTGGAGTGGTCAAAGGTAGGTTTTATCTCTCCTGTAACAGTTGCACTGCAGGAAACTCCTTTTCCCTGGGAAAGCCCCTGCTGTGAGCAGTGCCAGCACATTCTCTTGGCACAGAAGTGATGGAGGCTGGGATGGCACTGGTGATCCCAGGAGTGTGGCTGGTGAGGGCCATCTAGTGCTTCTGGGCAGCTCAGGAGCTTTCATGGACACCAAGGAAAGCTTGAAAACTTCTAACAAGGCTCATCAAAAGAATTTTACATTTTTGCAGTGGTGGTTTTATTTTTTTATATGACTTTTTCATTTAAATGCCAACAACCCCTTTTTATTACTTTATACTTCTGGCAGAAGCATTTGTAATATGAAGAAAAATGGAAGTTAGGCAATTCTCCCTTCTAAGGTCATTTCAAAGGAGGGATGATGTAGTCCTTTATACAGTACACTCAAAAGGATGTGGGCAGAAGACTTTACAAGGAAAATGGAGACCTGCACTATTTCTCAGATCACTTCCCCCAGCACATCCTCTTACCAGAGTCATAGCCCACATGTTGTTTGCTACATCAAAGTCTTCTAGGAGCTTGCTGTCAGAAGTGTCAGCTATGTTCAATGCATTTTTTACAGATGGAAATACCAGATTTCTTATGAGCTGAAAAAAATGCAGGTAATTTCAGGAACTATCCCATGGGAAAGCCCTGCAAATGGTTAAGACAGGAAATAAATACTTTCTCTTAAAAACAGATACTCTAACACAACAGAAAATTCCTCTGAAACCTGAATAGCTGACTAGAAAACTGTGCTGGAATGTGGTGTCTGAGCTTATTACAGGGAATAAAACAGTCTCCCATATGAAGCTGGTAAACTGAAACACTTTTCAGCTTTATTGGTTGGTAGTTTTCCATGCACTGTGCTTCATAACTTTTCCCAGTAGTGAGTTCAGGCTTTTTAATTTTTTCTTCTACCGCTTTAGCTCATGAACTCTGAGAAACATAACGTGTTTCATTAGTGAAATACCATCTAATTTGGAATCAAGCAAATCCAGGCTTAATTGCAGAGATGGAGCTTCAACAAACAGTGTTTGGACCCTCAAAGGTCCCAAAATACGGAATTTTTATTTGTTGGCTTGTTCAGCAGCCTCTGCAGTGAGTGCATGCAGAGGTGCATGCACAGAGAGTTTTCAGATCACTCCTTATCTTCTTCATTCACTTTTGTTTTTATTTATGAATCAGTAGTGACCAGTTTGCCTACTACACCTTCCTGCTCACTTGGCTGTCTTAAGGCATAGCTGGTAGAACAAAGAAATCAGAGCAACATCTTATGGAGTTAAAGCTGGAGTGGGATTAAAAAATGCCATATATTGTGATTTATTTTTCAGTGGGGGAATATCCTTTTCTCTGGTCAAGGTGATTTATGGAAGAGGTAAAATGTGTAGCATCAATGCATTTAATCATGTAGGGCTGACTTGAGTACAGAGAACCTCAGAAACACAAGCTTCCTGAGAACATGATGTAATTTTTTCAGGGCCGAGCTGGGGCAAGTGTGAGCAAGTGCTGTGTGCTCTGTTTCATAGCAGGTGGCTTTGCCCTCTCTAGCTGTCTGTGAGCAAGCTCTGAAGCATTCATCACTCAGTAAACAGCAGGTCTGTCACAGTGCAGGGCTATTGCAGATTGCTTGATCTTTCTTCCCTGTGCCTGCAGGAGACAGAAAAGAAGCAGCTTGCTATCTTTCCTCCCCTGTGTTCATCGCTTCCTTCTCTTGGTCTTCTGCAAGGCCAGGATTTGCATGTTTCATGTGTGCTGGTTCTGTGACTGTTTCTGGACCCATATGGCTCACATGTGGTTATTTTTAGGCAAAGCAGCTCCTGTCACATTGGCAGTCTGACTGTTCCGCCTGTTGAAAAAAAATGCGTTGAGAACTTTTAAAGATAGATTCAAATGGGGCTGTGTCTCTTCATGCTCCCAAGACCTTTCCTGGTTAGCAGTTAGCCCAGAAGTTCCTGCTGACTTTTCCTCAAGGCTGTGGTCTCAGCATGAGTTCTTTGGTCTGGGGTTTTCCTGCCAATCTTCTGATGTGTTACGTTTTGTGGGCCTATATCTTGGACACTGGCCTTTGTTTTGGCTGTTGTTCAACAAATGGCCATTTATCTGCTCCCTGATTAAACTTGCATAAAAGGACTGTTTTGAAGAAATGCAGGAATGCTTTGTCCCTTTAACAGTAAAGCACTACTTTCCCTGTTTTGGTATTATGACTTTCAGAAATTAGGAAATTTTAAAGCATTGAATGTCTTGGAAAATAACAAGTTATTTCTTATTTCTTTTCTCCCCCATCAAGTTAAGAGAGGTTAAAAGCAAGTTTATACTGAAAATTACCGCATGCTATGACTTGAATTATGTGGAATAATTTCTGTGGCTGCATAATAAAAGCTTCTAGGAAACCTTTCCCTGAGAGGATGATGGTATTCTGGACCCTCATCAATCCCCCTCCCATTCCAAACCTCAAAACTATTGCTTGAATGCTAATTAAAAGAAGCAAAAGTCTACCCATTTTCTGAGATTTTTTTAATATTATAATATTAAATAAGCCACAGGACAGCCAGAAAACTCTGGAGTAGACCTAACTTCTCCTAGTGTGCAACTGCAGCATGTTGGAGTTACTGCTGCAGCCTGAAGGTGAAGTGGTGCGTGTTTGAATGTAATCTTCCATCTGAGGTACATTATAAGCACTACTCTCCTGCCACACTGTGTATTGACTCAGTAATCATTTCTCTGACAGTTAAGTATATACCAAATTGAAACAATACCTACTTCCCCCCTCACTCCGTTTTGTAAAAACAGTTTCAAATCACTGGTGGGGATCTTGCTTAGCTTCACCCACATCACTGATATCACTGTTCCCATAGTAAGGAAGGTAGCTCCAAGATGGAAAAGAGAGCAAACTGAAGAATAAAAATTGAAGAAAAAATTGAATGAGAATGATGTTTTATGTGTTGGAAATTTTAGAAGTTCTAAATGTTTCATTTTAAATTCATGTCAATCAAGCATACATGCCCTCAGACTTTCCAGACTTCATCTTGGCTTCTGTCCTGGTCTGGAGAGATGCCATCAGGAGTGTCTTTACATGAGCCATCCTTTGAGACATTTTGGCTGGAGTGGCCCCCTTTGGCACACTTTTAATACTGACTTTTTCAGCAGTGTGTGTTTTGGATGGGAAATCTCCAGGTAGTGAGTTATCTAGTCACTGCAGTGCCCCAGATCCCTGCTGACTTCTGTAGAACAAGGATGCTTTGCTCCCTGACCCAAAGCCATGAGAAGTAAGCCAGTAAAGTCACTATGCCTTCCTAAAATAACTGTGAGAACAATAAAATCCCTGCAAATAGTCTTCTGCTTATTTTAGGCTGTGCTGAAACAGCTTTCAAGGAATCCTGCTAGTAAGCAGGATTTCTTACAGTGTGGTTACCAAAGATCCCACTAAAGAAACACAAATGCCAAATGTCTTAAAACCATTTTTAGGGCAAAATGAAATCAGGAGTGTTGCCCCAAAAGCCTTAACCCATCTGAATGAGAGATCCCCGAGGTGTTCCTGTACTTTGACCTCTAATTTTAATACCTTCACGTTTATTGAACAAGAGCATTGTCTTCTCATCTAAGTCTAAGCTGACTTCTTCAATCACAGTGATAGAGCAATTAAACCTGACATCATGTCATGCAAGCACTGTCAGCTTAGAGCCCAGTGTGTGCACAGATCTCTCCCACAGTTGTGACCACAAGCAAACATAGGTGGGGAAAATCTGTCTCAGTTCTGAAGGGTTGAGGCCCTTCAGATAGCTTGGGCATCATTGCTGGAATGCTTTTCCATTTGGGAGATTGAGATTTGCCTCATCAGGTGTAGTTATGCACATTTTGAGACTTTCTGGAATTCTACTTGTACTGCTGCAAATGCTGCTTGTCACTGCTCTGCTCTATACATTTTTTGCAAATGTTTTAGCATCTGCTGCTCTGACTACCTGGTGTGTCTTTTTTCCTCCTTTGCTGCATGCTCATGACTGCAGGGAAGGATGGGTAAGTTTCTTTTAGTATTTCACATTTTAGCTACACTTGTGCATTGACTCTTTTAAAAACTCCTCAAAACTGTCCAAAAATCCCTAGCTTAAAATCCAAAGTGAGCAAATTACTGTGGCCTGACAAATGACTGCTCTGAGTTAAACAGCAGTGACTGACCATGTGAAGATAGATTAAGAGATCATGTTTTGCCTAACAGGGTGTGTTTGTGCTCTATAGGTGGAAGTGTAAGGAACTTATTAGGTTTGACCATGCGCCTCTGTTTTAGTATAGAAACAATAAAGGTGCAATGTTTCACATTTTATTGCTTGACAAAGCCCCTTGCAAGCTCCAGGCTATTCAGCTAGCTGGTAAATGTGTATCTGGAACAGACATGATTCAGTACAGATGAAAAACATCCTCAGTTTGTGCCTTGACTTGCTTTTCATTTTAGCTAGAATAGCACCACTGAAGATGGTGTCTGTGGGAATGTGATCCAAATCACTTTGGAGACAAAGGAAACACTATCAATCTGTTGTGGGCTTCTGTTGCCTATAGTATATGAAAAACCTGTGTTTCATTCATTGCAGTGAAGCAGAACTGGTATTTGAGGAGTTTGCTCGTCAGCAGCTAAGAAATACACCTGATGAAGAGGACAAGCATTCACCCTCAACTGATGAGTGATTAAAAGAACAGCCTGACAGAGGAGCTGTGTTGTCTGGCTTCAGTTACAAATGTAGAACCTAAGTTTCTAGTAATCTGCATGTTCTCAGTCCATGCATGGTCTTCCAGGGATGACATCAGGAATCTCTATTGCTTATTACAAGATTCACCTTGAATGGGCAAACACAACAGCTGGTTCTTACCCAAGCTACCAGAGAACAACAGGACACCTGCCATAACATGACTTCTGCTTTCAGGGCTGCCTAATAAAAAGGTTGGTTGCTTTCCACACTGGTGAGAGCTTAAATGAGTTTATGCAGCCTGCCTGGACTTATTCAGTGTCAAAGTCTGTGACTTTGAAGTGCAAGTGAACGAAATCCTAGCCTGGAAGGCTGGCTTGCAGCCATGGGCGATTCATCAGAGTTTCTCAGAAGACTGTACAAAACTGATTTTACTTCCTTTTGGTTGTTTTTGCATTGATGCTTTACCAAATTCAACCAGTGAATTTTTTCAGTGCTTGCACTGTCCCCATGTGGCTTCTACACTCACTTTCTGTACCAGTAAATGTATCACAGGTTGTCTCCCACAGCACAGACAATGCTTATACACAGTATTAGCTTTCTAGCAATATGCTTGAAACCATGTTATTAAAGATGAGATAAATGTGCACTGTCAATGAATTGCTTAAAGTTCCCTATATACAATGCCAAACAGAAATACAAGTCCAGACAGAGTCTGTATTTAATCTAGTTTCCTGTAGGCAACAGCTACAAAAGAGGGTGCAGGAAAATTAAGGAGGAAATTATGGCACAGCCTTCCCTGAGGAGCTTTTCCCAACATCCATCTGCCAACAGCTGGTTTATGCTCTAAGAAATGAGATTGCATTCTGCAAACTTTGTTTTCTCTTGTTGATCTGGATATTCTCATTATCCATGTAAATGTCGGCTATTTTCCTGAATCTCATGTAGGTTTCTGCTGAAGTGAGTTGCATCAGCTAATTACATTTTGCATGTAAAACAACTGGTGTTTTATTTTTCTATTTAAAGCAGAAATCTATTTTTGCTTTAAATCTGCTTTTCAGTGTCCCTGGTTTAAATTTCCCTGGAAAGTCTGAATGCAGGACTCACATTTATTAATATAGACTTACATTTCCCACACTACACTCTGGAAAATAGAATTAAGAACTTCAGACTTATAACTGTTTGCTGCTGTAAACTGGTCTTGATAAAGATGCTTGAAGCAGTTAATTAAGACCACAGCTTCAGAGTTCCATCAGTGCTCTCCCCTAATACACCTGTTCCTCAGTGCTGTTCATTAGTCACAGGTGTCTCACGTTAGGTTAAATTGCAAGAGGCCCAATGTTTGCTCTGCATTGGGTTCTTGCTGCTAAAGGGACCCGGCCAATTTCAGGTGTTTGTGATCAGGATAATTTGTGTGATTTCAGCTTTGAGGGAGGGTCAGGTATTTGCACCTGGATATCTGGGAAGGCTTTTCCCCGGTATTTTTATTACTAATTTGTTGCTGGCTCAAGAGCACACAGAAGATACAGTAAGGTTGAAGAAATTACTGGTTGTGAATATGCTGGTCTTGGAGAGCAGGAATTCAGCAAATCCTTTAAAAATCTAAGAGAAGAAGGAGGAACAAGTCTTGCTTCAGAGTGTGTATTTCTCCACAAAGGTGTTTCCTTCAGGGTTTCCGGTGACTAGACTGGTAAGTATGGGACCAGTAAACTCAGAGATCTGATTAATTTTTCTTTTCCTTTTAAAAAAATTTCTTCTATGTCAACTTTTTGAAGGCCCTCTGTTGCTGCCTGACATTCCTCTCAAATTCAGTTGTGGTGATGACTTCTGTAAGCTAAGTGGGACAAAATCACAATGCACTCTGTGCAGTGGGGAGGAAATGGTTTTTAAATGGTTATTAAATCTGTTCTTTTGTCTGGGCTTGGGAAAGCACTTTGAGAGACATGCTGGTTATTTGCTCAGAAAGCAACGAGGGCTTTCTGCTGGTTCCTGTAGATCCCGTTCTGCAGGACAAGCTGGACTTTTTTCCAGCGCTTCGGGCAGCAGATACTGACTTCTGTCAGCAGAAAATGGGTCTCTAGCTAGAACTGTCTTCCTTTTATCTTCCCTTTCTTCTGGTTCTGGTGTTATGTTGATCTACCGAGTCAGACCTGTGGCCTGCTCCTCCTGTTTGCCGCTTGGGGAGAGCAGATCCAATTTCCTGACTCCGCGGCTTTGATGTGGTGGGACTCTGTTTGTAAAGAGCTCGCCAGCTCCCGGAGAGGGATGCGCTCTGGGAACGGTGGCATCTCTGGACTTGCTGTGTTTGAAGACGGCTTGGAGCAAATGACAGGACGCGTTTCGTGACAGACGCTTTCCCCTCACACATCTCCTTGAGATCCCAACGGGAGAGCTCCACTGCGCGTATCTGATGGGTGTTAGGCGGGAGGAGGTTACCTGGCCATTGCCAATGGAGGGGGCCGGGCTCGGCAGGGGGAGCGGTCCGGCCTCAGCGCCCCTGAAGGCCCTTCGGGGCGGGGGCTGCACGGCGGGTGGGCCTGGGCTGCAGCGTTTCATTAAATCCTGGGAACGCGGGGCGAGCTTTGGGAGGGGCTGTCCAGGCAGGTGGTGGTGTATTCGTCAGTGGAGGCGTTCAAGGAACGAAGGAAGTGGCACTCAGTGCTCTGGTTGACAAGGTGGTGTTCTGTTATAGGTTGGACTCGATGATGTCAGAGGTCTTTTCCAACGCGAATGACTCTGTGATTCTGTGCTGCAGTAGCCATGAAGAATGGGAAGAAATAGGGACCGCAGTCCCGGCTGTCGGGCTCGCCTCAGCGGGGAGCGCTGCTGAACACCTTTGTCCGGGCTCCAGGAAGCTGCGGCCGGGCCGCTGCGCTCGGGCGGTTCGCGGGGAGCCGCGGAGGGGCAGCGCGGCCCGCCCCGTCCCGTCCCGGCGGCCGGGCCCTGCCCCGCCCTGGCCCCTCCCGCCGCCGCCATGTGACGCGGCCGCCGCTGGGGGGCGCCGCGCGTGCGGGGCCGGTAGGGGGCGCCGGGCGCCCCGCCGGTCCGTGCAGCATGGCGGCGGCGGGGGCTGAGCAGCCACAGCCAGAGCCGGCCGCCGGCGCCGCGCCCGAGGAGTCGTCGGACAGCGAGCCGGAGCAGGAGCCCGGCTCCCTGCAGAAGCTCATCCGCAAAGTCTCGACGTCCGGGCAGATCCGCCAGAAGGTGCGTGCGGCGGGAGGGGGCCGCGGGCAGGGCCTCGGGGTCCTGGCGGCGCTGCGGCCGGCGCTGCCTCCGCGTTACGCTCGGTGCCGCCGCCTCTCCCTCCCGCCCGGCACGGTCCGCGCCTCCGCCAGCCCGGGCCGCCGCTCTGGGAGTTGCCAGAGACCCCCGAAGCTTTCCCCTGGGGCCTGCCACCGAGCCCGGCCCCCAGGGAGCTGCCGGTGGTCCCCCTCACATCCCGCTCCTCTCCCCTCACAACGACCCCTCAGGAGTCTGCCTGGACCCACCTCACATCCGCCAAGGCGCCCCTCAGCGACTCGGCCGTTTCCCCCTTTCCCCCTGTCGGCTGGAAAATCTTTAATTGTAACAAATATTGTCCGTGTTCGAAAGGTTTATTTATCCCGTCGTTTTTGGTGACAGCCCAACCACCGCTCTGGGTCCTACTGGCGACCCTCAACCCCCCAGCACAGAGACCCCCTGACAACACCCCCAACAGCTGTCCAGGCACTTGTGAACCCCAAAATGCCCCTCAGAGATCCCCATAATTAACTATTTCTCAGGTGCCCGTTAACAGCTGCCCCCTAAATCCCCTTCAGTGTCTGCCAGTGCCCCACAAACTGCCCTCAGGGGCTCCTGAAGTTGAACCCTAACCCTAACCCCGGTGCCTGAACCTCTCCAGTTCCTCTCCCCATTAGCCTGGCTGAGGCTGGCCAGCTTCTCAGTGCCCAGGTTCATGCCTCCCAGGGAGCTTTACCCAGCTCAGGGAGCAGTGTGCCTAGGCTCAGCAGGACCCCGTCTTAATTCTTTCCTTCTTACCCTCTTTCCCTGTAATATTTTCTTGGAGTCATGGAGGTCAGTTTTGGGCTCCTTCTCCCCAGTGCTGCTCCATTTACCTGGTATTTGAATCCTCAAGGGCATCCTCATTCCATGAAGCTCCATCTTCCATTTTCTCCTCATGTCACAGTTGCCACAGTCTCCTTCCTCATCTCCCCATGCTTTCCCTGAGAACCTCTGTGCATCCCAGCCATAGCTCCCTGTCACAGTGTTCCATTATTGCTTTCCAACACCTCCCTCCTCCATGCTCCTGTTGTACTTGGCACAAGTCACTGTCTCATCTTCAGAGCTCTGCTCTGGAAGGTGCAGCCCTCGTTATTCCCTGCAGTCTTTGTGTGGTGCCTCCCTCAGCATCTTCCCATCCTTTTTGTGTATCCTAATTCTTCCCATCTTGTACTGTGCTGTTTTACCTTTCTGTACCCATATAGCAATATTTAGCTTTCTGTCTGGTCAAGCAGTGATCTTGCAGCTGGTTAGTCTTTTTTCCCAGCTTTGTCTGTCCTGCTTTGCTTCCTTGGTAAGGTAACAGTACTTTCCACCCAGGTTCCCTTGGCTCAGTCATATTTTGTCCCTCTGTGGCTCATCCTGGAACAATAACACCATTTTTTATGGACAGTAACAACATTCTGCAATTACAACCAAAACTGTAGTTCTTCTGTGTTGTTACTGTAAAAGAAGATGTGAAGGTTTCCTTCAATTTTAGACTGGGAACCACACATAGGGAGTTTTCCTTTTCTGTACTCTTTTTTATTATAGCAGCATGATTTTTCTTTGTAGCCACTAAGCTCCTGTGTAACTCTTGGACTGTTGTGTCATGTGTTTCTGCTTAGAAATACCAGGTTAGTTACTCTGTCATCACCTGCCTTGTGCTCACCTTGTCTCTGCAGCATGGACAAGCACGGTGCAGCTGTGGGGATGCAAAAGCTCGCTCAGCACTAGTGCTGCAGCTCAGTGTTGCTTCTCTTGTACTCATAGCAAAGGACAGTAAATGTCTCTGCATGCTGCAGTGTCTGAAGCATTGTTCAAAGGGCTCTTTTTTATGCTTGCTGGTTTGCCCTGCTTTCAAACACAGGACCTGCCATCATTCTGCTGCACATCATTCTTTAGCTGCATTGGTGCCAGTTATGAAACCCCTGTGACAAGTGCAGTGGTACGTGAGGACTGTGACGGGACTGCTTCCTCCATCTGTCAGGTGCTGCTGGAGCTGCCACTGGCTTCTTGGGCTGAGGCACTGTGGGGTTGGGCTGTGAGATGGTTCTTTTGACCACACCAGGAATCCCTGGAGCCCTCTAAACTTGTTGATGTTTTGTATCAAGCAGATCTCAGCTGTGCTGGAGCACTAGGTGACTTAAGATAGTCTGTTATTCTGCTGCAAAAAAAAAAAGCCTTTTGAAATATTTTCCTGTATCCAGCATGCTGAATATTAAGAATTTGTCTTGCTGGAGATTGGATGAACCTTGGGATTTTTTAACACCACTTGTGGCAGGGGTCTCATGTGAACAGGAAGGAAGGATGCTATACTCTGTCTCCATGGTGGTGTTTGTGATGACAGCAGGGATACAAAGACTTTTCCACTGTCAAAGTGGGAGCTCTTTCTTATAGCAGGATGTTAGAGATGCTAAGGTGAAAGGTGCATTGGGTTGTATTGCGTCCTCCTGTCCCTACTTAATAGTTTTCCTTGTTTTACATCACTTCTGGTGTCAGCATGGCTGGAAAAAGATGAAACTTGCATATACAAACATTAGCATATTAAGAACAAGTATTATAGACAGATATTGTCTACAACTATTAAGCTGTGTGTTAACAGAGTTTAATAGCTGTAGACAGTAACAGGTTAACAGCTGTGTGTTAACCTGCCAAAAACCTTTGACTAAATCATGTCAAATTTTCCAAGTAAGCCCAGGTATTCTGGTATTCAGGATTGATTTGTTCTATTGCTTGTTGATGCCATTTTGGTTTGTT